GTCTCACTATGCAGTTTAGGCTGGCCTTGAGCTCACTTTATAGACCAGGCCAGTCTTGAACTCGCAACGATCCTCCTGCCTCAGCTTCCCAAGTGCTGGGATGACAGGCATGCGCCACCGTGCCCGGCCTGGCTTTCCCTTTCTAAAATTAACTTTGCAGTACATTAGATTATTATATTACTTGATTTTAGAAAATCTGCTGAGACATATAACTTACTGGGGGCTTTAATGGGCATTGACTTTAACTTACTTCTGCTCACTGTTAATTGGACCAAAAACAAAACCCAACCCTTTCTCTGGTGGTTTCATTGCAATATATTTTTCCCTGGGTACATTTAGGGAACTGCTGCTAAAATGATGATTTTTGATTTATGTAATTTTTTTTTTTTTTTGGTTTTTCTCCGGTACCGGACACCGAACTCACAACCTTGTGCTTGCCAGGCAGGCACTTTGCCGCTGAGCTAAATCCCCAGCCCCTTGATTTATGTAATTTGAAATTATATAGATGAATTTCAGAAACAGGGCAAACCATGTCAAATTAAGTCAGAGCATGGCATTAAAGAGGGTTCTTTCAGCTGGATGTGGTAGCACATGCCTGCAAGAGGACCACAAGTTTGACCCCATCCTGGTCAACTTAGAGACTTAGTGAGACCCTGTCTCTAAATAAAATGACTGAAAAAAAAGGGCTGGAGATGTAGCTCAGTGCAGAGGCCTTGGGTTCAATCCTGAGTACAAAAAGAGAAAAGAAGAAAGTTCTTTCAGTGGTTGGACATTAAAGGGTGTGGATGGAGGTCGGTGAGTGCAAGTCATGCCTGGAGAATGTAGTGAGGCCCTGTCTCTAGGTTTAAAAAAAAATGAAAGAGACCTAGAGATGTAGCTCAGGGGTAGAGCATGCTGTGTTCACTCTAACACCTGGGATGGGGGCGATAGTCTTCCATCTGATTTCAGCAGTCATGCTTGAAAACTTTTTTCTGGAGAGCTCTGAGAAGAAAGTGATACATTCATTGCAAACCATAACATTAGCAATATAGATTGAACATTTCATGATGCCCTCCTAAATTACAGTATAGTGTTTACTGTATGATTTCTTTTTCTTTTCTCTCTTTTCTTTCTCCTTTCTTCCTTTCTTCCTTCCTTTCCTTCTTTCTTCTTTTTTTCCTCTTTTTTGAGGTGCCCTTGAATTCATTATGTAGCCCAGGCTGGCCTCAAACTCACCTCCCAAAAGCTGGGATTATAGGCCTGGGCTACTACACTTGGCTTTATTATATCCCAAACAAAACTAATGAAAAGATGTTCAATAAAATTAATTTTTCTCTTACTTATTATGTCCTAACAGGTCCATGAGGTGTATAAAATCTACATATTTGCTCTGTTTCTGGGATATTTACTGCAGTTTGAGAATCCAGCTTTATTAGTGTCTCCTTTATTAAGTTTAGTAGCAGCCTTAATGCTTACTAAGTGCCTTCAGGTAATTATCATTGCCTTTTTATTATTGTTGTTACTTTTAAATTGTCAACTTTTTATATCTCACTTTTTTGTTTACATGATTTTTCTCCCACAGCTGAATGTCAAGAAAGGAACTTTTGTAGCTAAAATCATGAAAGTGATTAATTTTTACCTGGTGTGTACTCTTCCAGTGACGTTAAATATTATAATAAAGGTAAGAAACTCTCTGAGATTCATGCAGTAGAGCAAATTGAATAAGTTAATCTAGGTGGGCGTGGTGGCACACAGCTGTAATCCCAGCACCTGGAAGGCTGAGGCAAGAGGATTGCCGTAAGTTCAAGGCCAGTCTGAGCTACATAGTGATTTCAAAGCTGGCCTGAGCTACAAAAAAAAAAAAAAAGAAAAAAGTATAAGTTAGTCTAAAATGCTAGACCACATTTCAATGAGAATAATAAATAGTAGAGTTTTTACAGTATAATGCTAACTGAACAATGACCGTAAAACTAGAACATTGGTACAGAGAAAAAAAAGAAAAAAAAACCTAGAATATTGAGTGAGAAAATAGAAACCTGATTCTTTTCTCTTTGTGCTTGAGAAAAAAGAAATGTACTTCATTTTGTGTTTAATGTTATCATTACCTATTTAATCAGTATGTGGGATAAATTGAGACAAATAAAAGGTGGGTAAATAAGAGTAGATAAGTAACTTAAACCAAGTGAGAGAAGACTCAAGTATTCTTGCTGTTCCATTACAGTTTTATGCTTAAGCATAAGGTAATGGAATAGCAATAATGGAATGCTTAAGCCTAAGGTAATGATTCCTACTGGTAAATCTCATTGCTTCATAGTTATACTATATAAAGTATTACTTAACTCATATTTTTGTAGTCTTGCTGTATTTTCTATCTCTAGTAATTGGTAAAAAAAACACATTGCTGCAAGCATAGCTAGTATTTCTTGGTTTAATTAATGTTTTTCTCTTCTAGATGTTTGTTCCACACAAAGAAAATGAGCACATGTTGAAATTCCTTGAAGTAAAATTTGGGCTAAATATCACTAAGTAAGTTTTAGATTATGTAATTTACCTAAATCTATTACCACTTAGAAAATAAAGAGCAAAAATACTGAATGGAGGGAGTACTTATCTAATTACATATCACCTAGAAAATAACTAATTTGGTGGGATATGGGACTGTATAGAAGAAATGTGACATTATTATTTTTTTTTTTCGCTGGGAATGTAGCTCAGATGGTAGAATGCTTGTCCAGCATGCTGGAGGCCCTGGGTTTGACCCCTAATACCACAGTCATTTAATCAATAAAATAAGGACCCAGGATATAGCTCAGCAGCACAAGTGCCTGCCTGGGAAGCGCAAGGTCCTGAGTTGGATTGCTGGTACCAAAAAAAAAACAAAAAAAAAAGGGCTAAAACAACAAACAAATAAAATACAGCTCTCTTAAATTTTCTAAAACTAAGATAAACTTTAATGGTATTATAGTATTTTAAGGCTACTTTCTCCCTTGATAAAGAATGATGATGTAGGCTGAGCATATCGCTGCACACCTGTAATCCCAGCCCTTGGGAGGCTGAGGAGGAGGATCGCTGTGAGTTTGAGGCTGGCCTGGACTACATAGCAAGATCCTGTCTCAAAAAAACCCCCTAAATAAGTAAACAAACAAACATAAAATGAGGGCTAGGGCTATAGCTCAGAGGTAGAGTGCTTGACTAGCATGTGTGAGGCTCTGGGTTTGATTTCCACCGTGGTAGGAAAAAAAGAATAAAGAGCCAAGGTAATTTTAACCACTACATCAGTCATATGCTTCCATTAAAAAAGGGGAGAGGGTAAACAGTAAGGTGTTAACTTCACAGCCAAGAATGTCATCTTGCGGTCATAACAGTTGGACCAGAAGCTGTTCTGATTTTTTTTATTGTTTGAAAGAATATTTTTGGTGTCATTAAATTATTATTTATTTTTTAAACTCTAGAATGAAATATAATGATTTTATGCTAGGCAAGTGCTCTGCCACTGAGCTAAATCCTGAGCCTCATAAATGACTTTATGTACAAGTAGAGTCTTCTAGCAAAGCAGAGCATATAGTTGCCTACATATTTCTCGTGTTACACCTTAGAAACGTTTTCTCATTTGCTGTGATTATATGGGATTGTAAACAGAGTGAATAGAGTTTCCCGGGGTGATTTCAGTTAATAACTAGAGTGTTTGGGACATAAATCTTTAAGAGACCATTCACCCGGTTTCTGTCCCAGTGTGGGGAGACTGGCCTTGGGAGGGACAGTGTCGTCTGCAGGCAGATGAGAAGGGGAAGGCCGTCAGTAAAGACGGCTGCAGACCTCAGTAAGGACTGGCCCTCCCACCAGCTTTTTCCTTAACCCTGAGCTCAGCCGAGCATCTTCTAAAGGCTGCTCTGAGCCAGGGTTTAAGAGTTGATGTGTGTGTGATGCCTGTGTTTAGCATGTCATGAACTAGATTTGCTTCACAAGGTAAAGCATTGTCTTTTAAGAAGACAGTCCCATCTCATTGCCATCTCTGTTTTTATACATTTAATGACATGGGTGGTGTACACAGTGGTTGCCTCATGCTTAAATGTGCCAGTTGGATATTAGGTTTCAGAGTACACCAGAATTCACAAACATTTCTGTTGACAGACTTTCAAGAACTACCAACAAAGTGTTACTAAATATTTATTGAGTGTTTACAGTAGTAGGCTACTCATATGGAAACAGCAATGACTAAGGTCTAACACATGGTTGACAACATTATGCAGTGCAGTAGAGAACAAGTGAAAGTACCCCAAGAGGATGGGAAAGCTGGGCATGCTGACGCACATTTGTTATTTGGGGGGGTTTTTTTGAGTCAAGGTCTTGCTATGCAGTTCAGGCTGTCCTTGAGCTCACTTTGTAGCTCAGGCTGGTCTCAAACTCACAATGATCTTTCTGCCTCAGCCTTCTGAGTACTGGGATTACTGGTGTGCGCCATCACACCTGGTGGTGGTGCACATTTGTAATCCCAGCATTGGGGAGGCTGAGGCAGGAGGATTGCTGGGAGTTTGAGGCTAGTTTGAATGACATAGCAAGACCTTGTCTCAAAAAGAAGGGAAAGGAAAGGAAAAAACAATGTGGGAAGGGAAGGTGGATGCTAAGGGAAATGAAAATAATACTCATTATATTTGGATTGGAATTAGTCCTTACAGTTAATAACTTATAATGGGAGATTCTTTTAAGAGGTGCGCTTATTGCAATCACAAGATACTTTGTTGGCAGTCTATTTAATACAGCTGTGCTTTTTCCCAATCCTTTGTCTCATTCTTTTTCTTTGAAATCCTGAGTGCATTTTGTACTTAAAGTATCTCTCAATTTGAGTTGGTCACAGCTGAGGTGTTTAACAGCCACATTTAGCTGGTAGCTGCTGTATTGGGGAGCACAGGTTCAGAGGTTGGTCAGCTGAGTTTTTACTGACTCCCAGATAAAAATGGAAATCATAACATTCTAAAAACTTGATTGGGTTGGGTGTGTTGGTGCATGCCTGTAATCCCAGCACTCAGGAGGCTGAGGCAGGAGGATTCCTTTTAAGTTCAATACCAGCCTGAATTGCATAGTGAAACCCTATCTCAAAAAGACCAAAAAAAAAAAGAAAGAAAGAAGAAAAACTCAACTGGGCTTTAAAGATGGTCCTATTACTTGATAATAAAAAGCAACATTTCTGCATTTAATAAAGCAGTTTTAATGACATGTACTTTGTTGAAGAGAGTTACTAATACTGTTACCTTTGTTTATAAAGGATAACCTTGCAATTATAAATAAGTGAATGTAGGAAATATGTTTTGTCTGTTTTTACTAAGATTTTAAAAAAAACTTGTCAGTACTGTAAAACACCTGTAATTTTAACATCATGCTTTTTATCTTTTCCAGGAATTTTACAATGAATTGGCTGCTCTGCCAAGAATCCCTCCAGACACCATCTCAAGATTTTTTTTTGCGATTGACGCAATCTTCTTTATTACCATTCTATATTCTAGTGTTAATTATTTGTCTTCTTTCTATGATGCAAGTTATTTTTAGGAGGATTAAGTAAGTACATATGAGAATCAGTCACACTAATATATTGTGAAAATATTTATGATTCATATATATTTTTGTGTATGTATGTACATGTTCATGCTGCCATTTTATATA